ACCAATTGTACAGGAAAATATATTTGCCAAGGATACCTTGGACAAGGGTTTGATCTCCAAAATATATAAAGAATTCACATGACTCCACACCAGGAAGACAGACAATCAAATTAAAAAATGGGCAAAGCACCTGAATAGACACTTCTCAGAGGAGGAGATACAGAAGGCCCAGACACATATGAAAGATGCTCAGCATCACTAGCCATCAGAGAGATGCAAGTAGAAATCAGGTTTTTTTTTTATATTGATTACATAAGGAAATAGGTTGTTTTATACAATTTGTATATCTAGCCCTATGTATATGGAATACATATATGTATATAAGGAAATATTTAATTTCTATACAATTGTATGTGTAGTCCTATGTATTTGGGGCTACATACATTATGGTGCTTATCAGAGGCACCCTTTATTTCCTTTAACTCAATAAAAGTAAAGACTATAGAGTTTTGAGGAGATATTTATTAAAGGTTCATACCTGGGATGGGGCCTACTTGCAGGAAAGGCAGCTTATACTCTGTACTCAATGTCTTTGACTGAGTTGAAACAAACAAACAAACAAACAAACAAACAAACAAACAAACAGTCCTGGCTGGTGTGGCTCAGTGGACTGAGTGCCAGCCTGCGAACCAAAGGGACACTGGTTAGATTTCCAGTTAAGGCACATGCCTGGGTTTCAGGCCAGGTCCCCAGTAGGGGGCACGCAAGAGGCAACCACACATTGATGTTTCTCTCCCTCTCTTTCTCTCTGTTCCCCTCTCTCTAAAAATAAAGAAATCAAACCTTAAAAAAAAACTTTGAGGTTAATTAAGCCAGGAAAAACTCCTGAAGCTTTGATTACAAAGGAATTAGGGGTATACTACATATAGTAATTACAAATAGCAATATAAGAGGCAAACTCTTCAAACATGCTTCTATTCAAAGAAGAAAATTGGTGTTTATATAAATGTTTGTAACTACAGTCTATTCATTCACTCAGATAGGGGTAAGTATTATGAAGTACAGCAAAGCCAAGTGAGGACAGAGAGAGGGTGATTAATGCTTTTTAGATTGGGTGGTTAGGGAAGGTTCCCCTAAGGAGGGGAAATATGAGCAGGGACCTAAATGCAATGAGGAGTTTGCTAAGGGGAGATGCCAGTGGAGAAAATCTCAAGCAGAAGGATGAACAGAGTAAGGGCCTTGACGAAGAAACAAGCAGTGTTGATTCAAGGAAGACCAAGAAAGCCTGCGTGGCTGAACAAGTGTAAGGGTGGGAGAGAATGTTGGGTGGGGGGAGAGAGTTTGGTGTGCAGAGCACTGGAGAGGCAGATCCTGCAAAGCTCTGGATGTCACCATCAAGAGTTTGGATTTCATTTTAAATGTGATGGGAAGCCACTGATGACTTTCGAGCAGGGAACTGTCACAAACTGATGTATATATTTTCAAAGAGTCACTCTGGTTGAGGTATAAAAAACTGACCACAGGAGTGCAACAGCTGACGTAAGGAGACCAGTTGGGAAGTTACAGCAATAGTCCAAGAGGTGGTGACAGCCACTGAGGTGACAGTGTGGTGATAAATAGCGCGATTTGAGATGTGATGAAGGTCGAGCTGAAAGGACCTGCTGATGGACTGGTGATGATACTCAGGGTTTTAGCTTGAGTATTATGGCAAATTGAGGTGCCATTAGTTGAGCTGAGGAGGAAACGGGAGAGAAAACAAACTTGGGAAGGAAAATCAAGGGCTTCATTTTGAACATGTTGAGTATGAGATACCTATTACATATCCAAGAAAAGGTAGTGTGTACAGTTGGAGAGACAAAAAAAATTATACTCTGGGGATTTATTAGGGCTGCAGGTAAAAATTAGGAGATATCAGCATAGAGATGGTACGTACAGCCATGGTCTCTGATGAGATCTCCAAGGGAACACAAGGGAGTGAATGTAGATGGGAAAGGGAAGGGGGGTGAACACGGAGTTCCCGGACCCTCTGGCCTGGAGCTGGGGAGAGGAAGGCGAGCTGGCAAAGGAAACTGAATATGCCACTGGAGTAGCAGGAAGAAACCCAGAAGAATATCTCTCGGAAGCCAAGAAAAGAAGATGTTTTAATAAAACAGGTAGGGTGTGATCACTGGTCAACTTTGTTAAAAGTTGCTGAAGCCTGAGTAAAAATATCAATTTACATTTAAAAAGTCACATAGAAATATTAAACTAAAAGTGAGGAGGTCTATAGCTATTTGTGTGGAAAAATGGGTTTATATAAGGTCATGATTCTACAAATGTTAAACAGTTTTATTACAAAATCCAATCTTTAATGTAAAAATAGTGACAATTAGATAACAGTTTTTATGTCAACTAGAGGCTTACCACACAAATAAAGCAATTAACCCAAGTGACAACCAATAACGTCCTTAAAAGCTACCTACATTGGGAGGGATAATTTCTTCCAACTCTGAAGAACTTTAGCAAGTGCTATGTGAGTTGCATTGAGTCAAAATATGAAATAGGATCCCATAGTTTCATAATAGGCTAAGTGCTTCTGTCAAAATGCCTCATCACTGGTGAGTCTGCATCATGATTATAACTGAACTTTTATATCCAAGTAAATGCCTGTATGTTCCATTTTGAATATCAGCACTAGTTGTCTTTTTTTTTTAGCCTCTCAGCAGACATTTGGTAGCAGCAGTGACTTCTGTGTAGAGTATTTCTTTCTTGGATGATTTGGAAGATTCCAAACCAAGGTTAGCTTTCCTTCTCACATAACATATCCTAAATGAACTATGTGCCCTCTTAGCCAATATATATTCAAAGAACGTGTTTAGAGAATATAAACCAGTAACAGTCTAAGTAAATCATCATTACAATATAATAGCAGCATGCAACAAAATAATCTAAAATCCAGTGCAAAGGAAACTGTATTAAATTATCTATTGTTCAGATCCTTTCCAGCCCTGTCAGTAATCTGTAGGTCTATCATACAGGTGACTAGATTATTTAATCAGCTTCTAAAATAGGGAGTACTAGGAACATTGTAGGCACTCAAAAATAGTTGAGTTGTTTTAGAAAAAAGATATGCTTATAGGAGTTTCAGTAAGCTCTACTATTTGAGATTCCTCATAAAAAAACTTGACCAGTACCAAACGAGGAAGACAGTCTCGATGCATAATGATTGAGCTGATTAGCTTTTAAAATCCTTTAGCAACCTAAACTTACACAATTTGATTTTCATATCATTGCTTTTCCTATACTATCAAAAATGATGCTTTCTTTACTATTTCAAACTCATAAAATTGCTAAAAATCGAAAATTCAATTTGCCACATTACTGCTAATTTGAATAATGGCTGAATAAAAGACAGGAAACGCTGAAGCAGCAATGATTTCTAAAACATTTTGCACTTTCCTCCTCCATCCCTGTAAAGTAAAGCTCGGATGCTACGCACAATTACACAAGAAAATCAAGAAAGCCATTACATTCAGCATTTTGTCATGATCATTGTTACCATGGCAAAAGTGGGCTTAGTTCAGCGCAGCTGCTGTGGGCAAGGTCTGCTGGCCTTTTGTAAGGCTGGGTCACAATGCAATGCCAAGTTCTGTAGTCTGTTACTGTCCTCGCCACCCCCCAGTCCAGTATAAGACTATTGTCCACAGATGCTACTGTCTCATTTCTTAATAATCTTGGCCAATGTGTTACCATACTATTGTATTCTTACTGTTGGCCAGTGGCCAAGGAACACAGTTCATCTAGGAAGGTTACCTGTTGACCCACCTTTTGTTTGAAGGGTGAAAACTAAAGATTTCAATAATATGAAAAGCCAAAGTTTCAACAGTTGTATTGTAAAGGAAAAGAGAGCTGTGCTGGAAATAGCTCAGGCTAGCAAGTGAGAAGGAAAAATACAGGCCTGCGATGACCAGTTGTATGACATATTAATCTCACTCTTTGAGTATTAGGTTAGTTTTCTGTAAAGGGGGGATTAAAGTAACCTCCTTGTGAGAACTAGCTGAGGTAGTGTGCAGGTCCAGGTGCACTGCGGATGCTCAGTAATATGGCATTAATATGGTCTCCTCCTTTAATACCATATTTTTCTTTTTCTTTTTTAATCCTCACCCAAGGATATGCATTAATTTCAGAGAGAGAGGAAGGGAGAGAGATAGAGAGAAACATCAATATGAGAGAGAAACACTGCTAGGTTGTCTTTCATCCTTGTTCTGACCAGGTAAGAGCCTGCAACCTAGGTATGTACTATGACTGGGGATCAAACCTACAACCTTTTGGTGCATGTGACAACACTCCAACCAACTGAGCCACCTGGCCAGGGCCACACTTCGTAATTGCCTGGATTTCTGTGCCGTAAGGCATGTTGACTGTGAAGTTGGTAGGTAGACTGTTTTCTACTGTTGGAAGGTAATTTGTTTGGATCTTTTATACAGAGGTGGGCAAAAGTAGGTGAGTAAAAATAACAACTAATTAATAAATACATAATAAAAGAATAAAAAATATTCCTTAGATGAATGTTTTAATTTTTAAAATAAACATCCCACATCAAAAAAAAAAAAAAAGAAAAGAATCATCTCTGTGTTTCGCATACTCACGACTGTAAACCTACTTTTGCTCACCCTGTGTCATTTGGATATTCTCCTCAGAGAGCTGAGGATAAGACACTGTTTGAGGTCTGACAGTGTGCATAAATTCCATATCAAAAGGAGAGAAGTCAGTATCAATATCACAGTATGCATCACCCCTTATTATTCATATTCTGAGTAACACCAAGATTATCACTATAAAATGGAAAATGGCATATGTACTAATTTTGACCTAACGCAAAGATTCTTAGTTTTAAAAAAATGAAGCAACATTATGAAAGCAGAGAAGTTTAAATTATCTGAAATGAATACATTAATCAACTCTCTGTATTTACTAGAAACAAAGGCTACTAGCATTTTTACCAGCTAAACAAAATATTTTTTCTAATGAGATTTCAGCTGAGTATCGTTTATCTTAAGAGAAAAATAATGGGACCTTACCTATTCCAGTAGCTCCAGAACTGGTCATGCAGGTAGGCGTGGTGGCTACATTCATCACCAAATGAGGCTTTGCTTTCAATCCAGTGAATTATGTGCCCTTCTACAGCTGAGGGACAAAGCATTACTAATATGGAGCAAAGGGAAGGGAAGATTGAACATTCTGCACTCTGTACAGGCCTCTCTGTGCTTTACATTACTGAGCAGAGGCTTAGCCCTCCCCGTCATCTATGGAAGTAATTATAGAACAACACATGGTATATGTTTGCTACAAGGAACATTTATGCCACAATCACAACCCTTTTATTTTCATCATCATCTTCAAAAGTCCCTCTCTTATTCTGAGACTATATGAGTTGACAAGTAATGTGAAAGCAAACAAAAGTGACCCTGGCTTTTCAACAGAACCGTATTTTAAAAATTTAATATTTAGAGAAATAACTTGAAACAGCAACCCAAATGCCTTTAGAAGACATGCTTATTTTTCAAGTATACGTAAATGATTTTAAGGGATAGATTTCTTCTGAACCTATTATTTTCTGCTATTTAAAAATGATTTTTCCAATGATTTCAACCATTTAGATACAATATTACAAAGCTGATCTACTCTGGTAACATTGGCTAGTAAAAGAAAAAAATTAGAAAACAATGGATAAAACACATCCCTTTTGTCTATAAACAAATACATGACAGAGTTGAAGAACTTACCAATGGGTACTTGTAAAATAAAGTCTGGTGTTTTGTCATAACCCTTTGCACGGAGCTGATCTTCATCTAAAGAAGAACAAATACTATTACTTGTGACATTATTTCATTAATGAGACAGCAGTATAATTACTTTTCTTTCTTAAAAATGTATACAAATGACTAATGCAGTTATATATATCTTTCTTAACAAACCTGAAACATTGATATAATAAGAATGCCTTTTTGTCCCTTCTGCATTTTTATGTCTTTACCTTTACCAATTCAAGTTGTCATATGCTACCTTTTTATAATTGAAAATACTCAAAATAATGAAATATACTTACTGATGAAAAGAAAAGGCTTCATTACCATGAATATCACTAATGTTATCAGCCAATATTGACAATTTACAGTACAGTACATGCACAGTATCCTTTACAATTATAAAACAAATACTTTCATTAAAGCAAAGTTTAGTTGCTATCAATACAACTAGACTTACACACAAGAGAGGGCCAAGGACAAAGAGATCACCACAGAGAATTAATTATCCTGCTTAGGTCGGCTGGTATGCTATTGTTTCTGGCATTTCCCAGTGTTTTACAACTAACAATATCTAATTCTGAAAAGCAAACAGGGTTTGCGATTTTTTTTCTAGGTCTGTTTGATTTCTTGATCCTGTGTAAATATCAATGACCCATTCAGAAGGAAAAGACACGGGAAAACAGAGAGCTTTACAAAGTTGGAAAAAAACTAGCTATGTTCTTGGTTTAAAAAAAAATTCCTCTGATATTTTCTAAATGCTGTCCTTGACTTCTAATGGCATTACAATGTGATTTCTGAAATGAGGAGTTCTCCATTAGATTTTGGAGTGACCTGGTCATTCAATTCCAGACATGGCTTTCTGTCTTCACCCAACCTCAACTAATGGCCCAACCAAGTAACAAGGAAGGCTGTGTGGTCTCTTAACACCTACTGGGCTGTTGACATTGTCATGCATCCCATTCGCCTTCCTGCATCACCTTTGATTAAAATTAATGGCCCATTCCCAGTGTTGGGTAGCTTATTTCCAATCCATTTGTCAGCCCAAGACGGTGGTTTCATGGCCAATGTTCAGAAACTCTGTTTGAGAACGCTCTTGTGTACATCTTGAAAGGTCAGCATTTTCAATGTAAATAACCTTTTAATGACAAGACACATTTAAAGGAGATATTTAAGTTAAATTTTATTAAAAGTTGATATCCTTCAACTATCCAGATTTTGAAGGCTGATGCCAGAACTCAGAACAATCTCCCATCCTTGAACTATAAAAAATTTTAAGTGAACTATTGAAGTAAGAAAACAAAATATTAAAGTAATCTTACTTTAAAAGCAAGAGAATTTGGAAAACTGAACTGCAGACGAAAGAGACTGGAAGAATTTTATCCTCTAAATGTGCTCTGACCACAAGCGTGTTGAACGGAAAAGGCATTTACTATAATCAACTCAAGTGCCCTGGGCTGACGTTTCAGGCAGCCGGTGAACAGTTTTAAAAGCTGGGTTGACAGTAAAAAAAGAGATTAATATTTTATTAAAACTATCATAGCTTGATCAACCTTTGCAGATGTTAAAATCTATTTCAGAAAGAAAAATGATTATGTTTCTGACAGCAGCTCACAACAAAACTTCAAAGGTCACCAAGCAGTCCAAATGCACATGCTAACATCCCTTTAAAAGGCAGACGGTGCACTCCTGTTCACTGCACCAAAGTTCCCAGCACAACACCTACAATTTAAATTCATGACTTACTTAACATAAAAATAAAAAGCCCAAACTTTCTTCCCTACCCTGACCTTATTTTCCTCCCTCTCAGTATGAAGTTGATCCAATAGTAATTTTACCCAAAGGATGGCTTCTAAAAGCCTGTCACCACGAGTGATATTATCTAGATAGATAGATAGATAGATAGATAGATAGATAGATAGATAGATAGATAGATCTGTATGTTATTCCAAATATTGGAAATACTGTGTTATGTATTGGCTATCTTCTCCATTATTTACTGAACTCCCACTGCCTTATGCACCATTTCAGGCTTCATGTTTCTTTTATCCTAGATTTCCTAAGAAAGGAGAAGAGAACAACTTGGCAAAGTTCAGAGGAAATGACAGTGTGAGAATAAGGAGCAGCATTTATGAACTAAGGGTCTTGTTCACCCGGTCTAGGCCCCAAGAGAAGTTTGTATCACTGATCCCACTAGGAGATTTTTAAGGTCAGCACCATCCATTTGGCCTGATTTCCTGACCCCTAGACCTTCAAAGATTCCTTACTATTAGGATCATTATCCAAAACATTGGGTATGGATTTAAAATGTGGTTGACCATTCAGTGGGTCAGGGTTCCAACTCTTACTCAGAGCTTATGACTCAGTCATCAGCCCCTGCTCTTCAGCTTCATTCTCTGTTCACTCCCTTGTCTCCCACACAGGAGGCTTTCAGACCTTATCCACTGTCCCAGTTTTCACCACCAACACATGCTTTGCACATATTTAATGGTCAAAATGGATAACTGAATAAAATACAAGTGCAACTTGTATTTTAACTGAATATTTTAAAGAATATTTGTCTTCTTCAAAGCCTATCTAGACGGACTTCATAATTTTCTGATTTAACTGCCCATGAACCAACCAAGCAGAGACAACAAATCCCACCCAGAGTTCAAGGTTTTATTTGGTAACTCTCACTGATCTCTTTCATCTTTGGTCCCAGTTGTCTGCTGAGGTTCATCTTGATCATAAAGAAAGAAGCTTCACTCCTTTCTTTCACACTCATGGGAAGTTTCCCTACTGTTATCTTTATCAGTAGTATTTATTTGCATAACACCGGGTGTATCCATTCCTTAAAGTGTGGGCAGAATTCCTCACAAATAGCAGTCTGGGCTTGGTGCTACTGTGGCGAGCAGCCCTTTGGTTGCTTCTGCTATTGCTTCTATGGCTACTGATTTCTTTAGATTTTTATCTCTTCTATGGTTAGTTTTACAATTTATATTTTCCTTGACAATCATACATTTCATCCAGGTTCTTGTAGCAGTTCTTTGCACATATTTCAGCCAGGTGGTGACTTATGATTCTTTGAATTTCCCAAGTGAAAAACTGGATGTTTAAGTAACATGTTGTTTTCTTTAAGAAAAAAAAATGATCAAGTTTTAAAGAAGTAAAAACTGTATTAGTTAGAAAGGGAGGGAGAATAATGGCAATGTTTTTAGCATTATTAGCATAACTCCCCAAAGTGGTTGGGGATCAACATGAAATCAATCTCTCAATCCTGTATACCTTTCTTATTCAGTGAAAAAATCAAATTTGAAATAAAACTCTTCTTGGTTTAAGATGCATATTAAAAACACCCAATAACCCTGGCTAATGTGGCTCAGTGAATTGAGTGCTAGCCTGCAAACTGAAGGGTTGCTAGTTCGATTTCCACTCAGGGCACATGCCTGGGTTGCAGCCAGGTCCCCAGTAGAGGGTGTGTGAGAGGCAACCACACATTGATGTTTTCTCTTCCTCTCTTTCTCCCTCCTTTCCCCTGTGTCTGAAAATAAATAAATAAAATCTTTCAAAATAAAAATACCCGATATATCTCATAACTACTAAGCTTATTAATGTCATAGTTCAAGTGTTCATTATCAGAATTAACATAAGAATGTTTTCACTTAAAAAGCAGCCTTGTTAGCTTCCAGATCCACAAAACATAGGATTTTTAGTTAATATGAGCCTTATGAAAAAGCATTTCTGAGCTTGTGAAGTTTTAGAGATTACGGGCCTGACACTCCAATTTACACAAGGTAAAACTGTCTGACAGAAGTGGAGTGACCCACCGAGACCTAGGCCTCCACAACAGTGAAACATAACGGCAAGCCAACACTGCCAAGTTCTGGTTTGTCCCAATCAACCATTCACCACTCTCAATTATGGCACATGTTTAAATTTCATCATATGCAACATTTATGAAGTGAGGAAAAGATTCTTATTTTCTTCCTATAGGATCCTGAGGCACAGGAGAGTTGATGGCCATCTGCTGGATATTATTATTTAGATAACGCCTGCCTGAAGTGATAAACTACACAGTCTCTTGACTTCTAGATGCTCTTTTTTCCAACTGAATTGAAAAAAATCAATACAACGGTATCCACAGATAAAACAGATGTTAAACTTTTTAAAATACCCCAGGTCTTCATTTATTTTTTTGGCTGCCAGTCCTGCCTTTAGAGGACATTTTAAAAAAGAAATTATATATACTTAAAGAACACCATGAAAGTTTAATTTCTCTGGCCTTTTAATTACTCTCTCCTCTAAATACCCAAAATATCCAAAGCAATTAAGTGCTAATTACACAATTACATTTTTAAAAATAAAAGGCTGACTTTGAGTCGGAGAACAAAACACATCTGAAACTAGTTAACATACACTTAAGAATCACAGGAGGGCACAAGGACTACCAAGAAAAAGTTTGAAATTTTCTCGTTTGTTTTATTAAAAGGTTTTAAATGTTAGAAATAGAGTTAATCTTAGAGAAATTACATAAAATTCCAGTTTGCAACATCTGAAAACAAAAAGTAACATTTTTGCATAGTATTTTGTCTAAGAATTTGTCAAAAGGTTTCTAAATATTAGGTTAAAATACATTTATGATCTATTTTAACCTAATACATTATACACCTATAATATATTTAACACCTACAATATTTTTACTAAATTGAGGAAGAGCAAAAGATACGTAAATCAATACAAATGGAAACTATAGTATATCTTTTCTACTCAAACAGTTTTTTTTTCTGTTATTTTTCCCCCAACACACTGTCTCATTCAACACTTGGTGGTATATCCTTTGTATTCCATATTTTTATATTCTTTAATAGTAAGTTTCACAATATTTCTACTCAATTTTAGAAGTTTTCAAAGTTTCGGTAATAAATGTTACTATGATATGCAAACCATGTGCAAAAGTACACAGATATGCATTTAATGGGGAGACCAATAGCACAGATAAATGAAATCTTTGGAGAATCCAAAATGTCATTACAGCCATTAATTTCAACCTCTCCCCCAAAGCC